AGCAAACACATTCATATTGATTACCACTTCGTTTGTGAGAGAATTGCACATGGAGACTTGGTTGTTAAATATGTTCCTACTCATCTCCAACTTGCCGATATTTTTGCAAAAAGTCTATCTAGTTAGCAGTTTCATTTTTTAAAGACAACCTCTGCATTGTATCTCCGCACAGCTTGAGGAGGTATAATAGGCTTAGCCTGACCCAGTTTTATTTTGGACATTTACTTCATTATATATACATCTGTCAGGACTCCTGTGAGGACAACCTGTTCCGATTATTCACAAATACTTCTCCCATTAAACCCAATAAATATAAAGCTAAATATATACGGACTGCAATATGTTAGTTAAATACGGTGTGCGAATTAAATGTGATTCACTATATATATGTGTGTTTTATTCAGTAACTTGAACAAAACATATCATTAAAATTTGTTGAAAACTACATTAACATATAAGAAACGTGTAATTAGTACATATATGTGTATAATACCACGTCATCTAGAAAAGTTCATGTTAAAATTACGAGTCCAATTTTAAATGCTTAAATTATTGGATCATTTTGGGTACACAGTTTTCTGTTTCAAACGACATAGCCTACTTTTTCGTATAAGATAGAGTATTTTTTTGTTAAAAGAAAGGATACGTGTTACACGTATAAAACGCGTTTGATGCACCAAATAACTAACTATGGAAGTAATGTAACCAAACTCACGGCAAATTATACCGTGGGATTGGTATACCGTGAGATTGATATATCACGTGCATGGTATACATGTCCCAATACAACACCGTTTCTCTAATTTAAAACAACTCAAATATTCTGCTCTTCTTTAGTCGGCTGCTATTCTTCTCTGTCACAACATTTTTTTTCTCCGCCATCGTTCGACGCACTACTTATCTAGCTTCTTAATTACTTTTTTTATTACAACGAATTTGTAATCATGATTCGTATGTTGATATCACAAAGTAAAAAACTTCCACTAACTTTCCTGCTTCGCCTTCGATCGATTTCCTTTCTTCTTTTTCTTTTCTATTCTTATTCAATTGTATTAATCTCCTCTATTTATTAAAATACGAAAAACATGATCACAATTACTTTTTCTATAATACGTAGTATATTTTTTACATGTTATTATACGTGAGTTACATCTTCTTATGCGCGAATTACATACTTGCGCGAGTTAGGTTGTTTTTATTTGGACTGTAATTCGTCCCAGGTCAGACCAAACCAGACCAGACCAAAACAGATCAGACTATACCAGACTAAAACAGATCAGACCAGACCGGACCTTTTATTATTATTATTATTATTATTGTTGTTGTTGTTGTAGTTGTTGTTATTGTTGTTATTATTATTATTATTATTATTATTATTATTATTATTTTTATTATTATTGTTATTATTATTATTGTTGTTATTATTGTTGTTGTGGTTGTTGTTGTTGTTGTTGTTGTTATTATTATTATTATTATTATTATTAGTACTATTACTACTATTACTATTATTACTATTATTACTACTATTATTACTTGTACTACTTTATTATTGTTCTGTATTTGTATGATCTGCTTCGGTCTGGGATTGAAATCAATCCAATTAAAATGATAAAAATTTTCGATAATTTAGATGAAATAGTATTATTTTTAATTATAAATGATTAAAATATAATTTTTTATGGATTATAATATATATAAAAAATAAAATCTTTATGCAAAAAAAAATAAAAAATTCGGACCAGACCAGACCAGACAAGACCAGACCAAAATAGACCAGACCAGACCAGACCAGACTAAAACAGACCAGACCAGACCAGACTAGACCAGTCCAGCAAATTACAGTCCAAGTAAAAACATTCTTACATCTAATTATGCGTGAGTTACATATAATTATTTGAAATTTTACTCATCTTTATCTTTAACTAATTAAATTGCAAATGAATTAATTTTTTCTTTACCAATTTAATACAAAGTTTTATTAGACCACATAAATAAGTATATCGTATTTCATAATCACAAAATAAAACCCTTTTATTGAATAAAAGAAAACGATTTGCTGGACTTATTTATGTGGCACAAATCATTAACGTGACAAATCATTAACGTGATGCTGTTCAATCCAACTTCATTATGGTGTAGCTCAGATACGAAATTTGAATAATTAGCACCCGATCTTATCAGTGCTTTATTCCGGGGACAATATTTCTCAATTGATATTCCTAATAATATTTACCGAAAACAAAAATAATTATTTCAAACTATTACAAATTCATAATTTCATACGAATAATACATTAATACATAATCATTAGATTCGATTCACACTATATTGCACTACGTATATTTCAAATCGTATTGATGAATTGTAAAAATTCAATAATGAAATATCAAATATTTAATTTAATTAAAAAAGGCCAAAATGGGAAAACCAAAAACAGAAAACCTACCGAACTGGTCTGCGGAAGACGGGGGCGGACGACGGGACAAAACGGGACGGCAGACGGCGGTTGGCAGTTGGCGATCCGATGTGACGACGTGGCCGATGGCTCTGCGCCTCTGGTGCTTGCCTGCTTGCGCTGCTTCTACGTAATGAGTAAATGCATTTGGGGCATTTGGGCGCTGTTCTTGGCTTGGTAAGACTTCATTTGGGTTGTTAAGTTTTGGGCCTGCCTTGGCCCAACCGAACCTTTATTTTATTTTTTCCCTGGACTCCAAACGATGTCGTTTCGTCATGTAACTTAAAACACAATCACCGTCTTATACTTGATGGATCATCCCTGTCAGCGTAACTACTCCATGCTTCAAAGCTCGCAGGCAAAAATGGAACGGACCAGTCCGGCGGCCCACCAACCCTACCTATACCCTATCTCGTACAGCCGAAGAAGGGGCACCGACCCCCCTGCCCCCCTGGCAGATCCGCTCCTGAGTTATTGTACATGCGTATACTCCTCACGCGATTTTTTTTAAAAAAATATTGATTAAAACTACGTTTTTTTTTGGCCTGAAGCATGGTGCTCACCGTTGGATGATCACCGTGCTCATTTTGACGAACCGTGTCTCGCAACCTCATTTTGATGTTGTTCTCAGTGGTATTTTTTAACAAAATTTAGTGTGCATGTTCTTTATGAAGCGTAGACGATCCCACCATATTTGAGCAAAAAAAATAATTCAGAAGGCAGTCAAATAATTTTTGGAAGATAACTACGTTTTATATGAATATTTGGGCGCAATTATGTTCTAAAAATCATTTGTCAGTTTTTCGGATTGAATTTTTTGCTCAAATTTGATTGAGATCATCTACACTTCATGAAGAAAATGTTCAACAAGTTTGAGCAAAAAATGACATTGAAATACCGCAGAGGGTGATTTGTTTGTGAAATACCGCACAAAACAATTCAAACACCCTATTTATCTAACATTTTAACCATTTTCACACGTGCTAGGGCCTAGGGTTAACAAAATGCTAGTCTGTCATTATTTACGTGATTTTAACAGCGCAATTACCTTTCTTGCTGTATATTAACCTTTAGAACCATAATTAACTTTTAATCATAGGCTTTATTCAACTGTGTAAGATATACCTCAATAATTACGTCATTTCGGGACCGGCGCGGTTATGTTGGTATGCACCGATCTAATGAATATTTATTAACAAATTTTTTGGCGCAACGTAAAATCTGGATACACGATACGCACCTCGTTGGGTAATCTTGTTTTTTGGATTATCAATTTTTTAAATCAATTTTTTCGCTAAAAACGTATATTTCAAAATAAATCTGGATACATGCGCTGAATAATGTAACAATCAAAATAAATTAAATTAAAGTTACTGTATTGTCCGAAGTTACTGTAGATAATCATTTTAACTATGTTATAATTCTTTCTTTTGGGTTAATAGGCCTGATAGCAGATCAACCCATTACCCACTAAACATGGGGTCCATCAGGGCCTATGTTGGGCATGGTCCAACAACTGGACTTGGCAGACGCTCGTCCTACGAATCCAACAAGGGCCAAATGATATTTCGGGATCCTCGGATGCGGTACACACCAGTCGTACGAAATCCTCTTCCTTATAGGATTCTACGCTCAATCTGGCCATGGTCCACCAGGCCGGATACCGTCAAGACGCTCAGCCTCTGTGACCTTTGCCCGACGAGTGCCAGATAACATTCTAGGGCTATTGGCCAGAGAGCTGGCATGAGCCGCACGGAGCCCAGCCTTGTACCTCCACATCCAGGAGTTCAGGTCAAGGGACACTCGTCCAGGGCTCATAGAAATTATCTTAGCTCTCACATACGAAAGGCCTCGGGGCTAGTAGTTGAAGTGTGTTGTATATCGACCCTTAATATCATTCAATAAGATACGGTCAACTTGCTACCGAATACTTGATCCATCTTTGCTTGTTAGCTTCTTAATCCACTAAACTCACCACTCGTAACTCAAAGGATACGTGTTGGGCCTTTGGGTTGAAGGAATAAACCTCAACACTTTCTTTATTCTATTAATAAAAAAGTATTTTAAATATTTTTTTTTCATAAATCAGCAAAAATAGTCAATCTTTGTACTTCAGTCGGAACTTTATAAATTTCAACGGGATCCGTTCATGATTCAACCAATTCCGATTGTTACCAAACGGGCTCAAGATATTCTAAAAAATCGAGTGAATGATGACTTAAATATAGTTTGTTAAAAAAAGGATGATACCTCATACCTGAAGGGCCCCCAACCCCATACTGCAACTATTTTACTCTCATCCTATTTTAGACAGAAAACTATAAGTCATATTTTGAAATTTCAAAACCTAATTACTCTATTTGAGGAACTTTCCCGATCAAAAAACCCTCCTTATAGTTTGTGCCTGCCCTAGATATTCCGGAATACAGTGCACTAGTGTGGTCAATTAAGAATTGACAATATTAAATGATGAGAGATCCATTTGCGGTAAAGCATGATTTAAGGGCTCCCCTCCACGATTAGGTGCCCTTCGATATGTGACACAACATGTGCACGCATTCATACTTTTGGAGTCCAAAGTTTCGGATTTAAAACCACATGCATGTGTCAATTAACACTGTCTACGTAAATCCCCTCTCTTCAAAATGTTCCATTGATTATTCCGTTCGTTTCATTACTTCTATGTTTCCAGTCCTTATGGGAATTAGCGTCCATGTTTCCTTACATGTGTGTGGCATTTTGCACCTAAGTAATTACATTAGGTAGGTGAATCCCACAGTGTGCACAATAACGTGTTTTGAGGCAATTGCGTCTAGGATTTATCATTATTAAGTCACAACAACGACTTTATAGTAATTTGTTTTACCAATTAAAGACAGGTTCTTACAAAACCTACATGTATGCATTCATAAAACCAAAAATTCATAAACCCATACGGCTGTTTTTGGATATATGGGTTGTAAGTTCCGCTAGGAGTAAGTTCGGGGGTGAAGAAATGATTTTTTTATCATCACAACGGCTTTTTATTAATATATAGCAAACATGCAAGACAAAATCCAGACAAAATGATTTTTTGACTATCTTTTATGAATTGAAACACTTTATTATGAATTAATACTCTTAGGGGTACTTAAGGTAGAAAATTAATGTTTAGTCCTATTTGTGAAAGATTTAGGTTTTAGTCCTAATTGTGAAATTAAGTTTTCGTTTAGTCGTATTTAGGTTAATTTTTAAATCTTGTAATGTAATCCTCGGTAATATTTTAAGAGAAAATTGTTGATTAAATTGTTAGTCATGGTGTAGACTTTGATGAAGATAAGTTGTGTGATCATGAGATGAAGGGGTAGACAACTCTGTACAGTTTACCTGCTTTGAATAAAATTCAGTTTTCTATACTTTGTTCTTAATTCTCTGTGATTGATTCTGGAATTGCGGAAGTTCTATCATAGAAGCATTTATTCACCTGAATAGGAAGAAGCTAAAGGCAACTTCCTCTAAACTTAGATAAATTATATGTTTTGATAATAATTATCATTCATCTCAAAAATATGATTTCACTTTCAGGTGTGGAGGAAAAAGCACAGCCAAATACAGGGAGCTCAAGTAGTATAATGAAACCAGAATGACAGTGGTATATCATAATAATGTCGTTTGTGTGAGAAATAGTGTAAGTAAATTAAATATGTTGCCACCACGCCCAACTATTACTTTAGTGTTCTATATTGACTGTATGTATAAATTAATTTCATTGTAATTAAACAAGGTACTATACCTGGAACTATACATATAAAGAAGTTTTGGATGAGGATTTTGAACTGATATACCCACACAACAATCTGGAGCCCAACAAGTTAAGAGGCTTCGGAAGGTGGCTGGTCCTTCCTATACGAATGATTTGAAAATATGATACTATGAGCAATAAATAAGGTGTGAATGTTTTTACTGTATTTTTATGTTTTTACTTGGACCGTAATTTGCTAGTCTGGTCTGATCTGGTTTCTTTGTATTTTTATAACTATCCAAGTTTGGTCTGGTCTGGTCTGGTCTGAACTGGTCTGGTCTGATCTGGTTTGGTCTGGTCTGGTCTGGTCTGGGACGAATTACAGTCCAAGTAAAAACATCCTTAACCCCTTTATTAGTTTGAAAAAGTAGTACGGAGTATCACATAAACTTACCACTTGTGAGTTTAAAATTCCTAAAATTATACTACTTTCGTCCCACTAAGATTGGAACAAGAGAAGGTGACACGATTATTAAGAAAAGTGAGTTTGTGTGATTGAAATTAAATTGATAAAGTAAGAATAAAGTTAAAATGATTTAGAACCAAACAAACTTTACCAAATTTTATATAGGACAATCTTAGTTGAATTTCTTGAAAAGATAAAATAAGACAAACTTAGTGGGATAGGGAATAAAAGACTTCCTTTATGCGACGCATATGATAAATCCAATTCAAATGACAAAAATCAACTACAAAGAGAACATAATAATTAAAACGAACCGGTGGGTGTTGCTCAACTGGTAACAAGGGAGTGCCACAAGGGTTAGGTCCCGAGTTCGAATCCTAACAACTGCGATGAGGGGTTACTATGCTAAAAATGCATAGGGCCTCTGCAAGTACCGGGAACAGAGCCCCACTCTATATCTATCAGATTAGGATTAATATTCTAATTTACATCCTCCCAACGTACCGTCCGGTCGGGGTTGGAGAATCCTCAGGGATGGGATGTCATCCTTTTTTTTAATAATTAAAACGAAAGTAGAGAAAATTGGAGATTATTGATTCATGAATATCGCCATGAAAATGTAAGCATTGAGACTCTCCTGTACGACATGTGACATTTTCTATTGAGACTTGAGCTACACTCGAATTGATTGATTGAAATTCATGGAGCACTTTTCGGAATTATTTCTCCCGTGTTAGTTGTTATTGTTTTCTCTTTAATTTTATGGAGAGCATATTATTTTACAATAATCATTCTCTTAATTTTTGCAAATATGATACACTTTGTTTTAGCTTTCTGTAAAATAATTTTATTATTTTTCATCCCTGCAATATGCTCTGTTTTGTTTTTAGTCCATACTCCTACTTCGAAACCATCCAATTTGGGAAAAAAGTTATTATCGATTGCATAAATCTACTAGAAACTTTTAAATTTATCCTTTGATAATTATTTTGAGACTAATATGAGAGATAAAGGAATACTCCGTATAAAACTAATTATTCACATTTTTCAAATATTTATTAAAAACCTTTTAAAAATTAAAATTAAATACTTTTTGAATAATATGACAAAGAATTAGATGAAGTCTTTTAGTCAGGGCAGTTTTTTTGTCAAATCCTCGGTAATGGACTACAAAGAAAATCAATATAAATTTCAGGGATGAAAAAAATCGCAGGGATGTAAAACAAAATGTGTCATACTATCATCTGTTCTGTTTTAATCGCAGTATGTTGAATTTTACACTATTCACATGCTCTACTTTGACTACATTTTAAGAAAATTATTTTTTAAAAAAAATATTTTTCAATTCATCTCTTTACAATTTTTCGAAATATGATTTTTAATATTTTTTTACTAATAGAATTAAGATATAATTACGATCAAAAACGTGCGGTTGTAAATTTGAAATGTCGACCGTTAGAACTAAAAAAGGACGGAGGGGGTATTTAAAGAGACTTGAAACATATTTAAACATTTATGCATGGTACCAACAATTGTCAATCTAAAGCGAAAATTATGGGTCAACAAGCTATTCTAAACAATTAACCTTCAGGAGTATTCGACTACTCCCAAGTAAATCAATCACATCTATACTCCCAAAATCCAAATTAATCAATCTTTAATGCTCCGTTTGATCGTTCTTTATTGGTTGTGTCTTATATACGGAGTAATTTTTGTGGTATATACTTCGTACATAAGATTTAAATAGTATTAGTAGAAGAGATTTTGATTGAAGAATTAATGTTTTAATTTTTTTGATTTAGTGTGTTTGTTACAATTTTGTCTAATTTAGGAATGAAACAAATCAAAATGAGAAATACGAAAACTAAGAAAAATGACTCTTTTAAAAATAAAAAATTTAAAAATAAAAAAGTGATAGGGGAACTTATCAAATACAAATTGGGGTGTATATACTTCAAGCAACATATTGGTTTTACAAAAAATGCAAAACAAATAATAAAAAATGGGGAATTATATCGAATGATATGGGTTTACTCCAATTGAGTTCTCTAAAGTTTCAAATAATCAATCATAAAAATTCTAACATATTACTGAAATAAGTACTATGTATAAAAAAATCACTAATATACTTGGGTCAACATAGGCTCAATGATATAAATTTTAATATAATCGCAATTACTGAAAGCCAGTATTATAAAAAAAAGAATTACACTTTTGTCCACTAAATTTTGATGAAATCATCATAAACACATTAATAAATTATATTAATTCAAATAAAAAAGTTAATTTTATCTTTACGTTTTGTCAACAAAGCATCCAAATTGGTAGCCGCCCTTTACGAATTACGATCAACAATCAGGACGGAGTGCAAAATACTCCACATCGAGAATAAAATAGAGAAATAAAGAGTTTAACGCGCTTAACTCCCTTTGTCATACATAAATTGGCCGCATTAATCTTTCTGATTTAACAAATGCTTCAAATGTATTATTAATGCATGAAATCCATTGAAAAATAAATTTAACAATTTCAAGATCATTTTATTTAATATTATAATTGATCAATATCTATAAATCAATCAAAATATTTTTCGTTTTCATTTATTTATCAATTAAATTTTTTCATAGAGGAGGTTTTGCGCATTAATAATTATTACAAATAGGGGTTTGATGTATTAAACCAGAAATTAAGTAAAGAAAAATTTGAGATCTTTTCTAGTGCATATAAAGCAGATTTCAAACAGATCAAATCAGGAGGTGTTTGGAATTAATTTTGTTTCGGATCGATTTCTAAAAAAAGGAATAGAAACTGAATTAGTTTTTAAGAGGTTGGTCTCCATCTGCTCTTCAAGAACTCTCTTATAAGAATCAATTTAGAACACCCAAAATTATTACTCCTTCCGGTTCTCAAAGATCTTTACACTTTCCATTTTTATCAGTACCACAATTATCGTTACACTTCCTCATTTGTCTTATTTGGCAAATAAATCTACACAAAACAGTGCCAAACAGTGTTAAACAGTGCCAAACAGTGTACTCTATGGTAAAGTCAAATTTATTTTCTTAAAAACTTTGAAGTCTCAAGATCTTTTGAAACCGGATGGAGTAATACACTTTCGCTCAACATTTCAAAATTTTTCAAATGTTCTCAAGTCTATTTTTCATCGAAGAACAGAAACAATTTTGAGAAAAACCCACCTGTTCTCAAAAGCAAACCTTTGCGTCATTTCAAACATCCAATAGGAATTACAGTCAAAAGACGGCGTTGCGGTAGATGATTGACACGTACCCATTCATCAAGTTTGTATCTTTGCCTCAAATATCTCCATTTTCATCCCAAATCTCCTGATGTGCTCTGCTAAAAATCCTCTGTTTTCCTCACCCGTAAATATACCCACCAACTTTAACGATGATCCTCCAACGTTTGTTCAGTGTACTGATTCTCACCTGTTCGATTTGTCTGAGTTCTTGTCCGGGGACGCTAGAAATGCGGAATGCTTCAAGATCGAAGGCTTTGCCCCTGAAGGTTCAAGAAATGAAATCCGGGTCCTTTCAAAGACCTCCGCTTCATCTGAACATCACCCAAAACGTCACCCTCACGGTGTCTATGGCTGTCGGGTCGCCGCCGCAGAACGTGACGATGGTGCTCGACACCGGGAGTGAGCTGTCTTACCTGCGGTGCAAGGCGACCCAGAATAAGCAAGTAAAGCAACCCGTTTTTTACCCGACCCGGTCGCAGTCCTACTCTCGGGTTCTCTCCTCGTCTCCGAACTGTACTTCCCGGCCCCAGGAATCCTCCATTATCCCTACCCCCGGCCCCTCGAACAGCTGCAGCGCCGGGGTCTCCTATGCCGACTCGGTGCTTCTAGATCTGAGTTTGGCGAATGACACGTTCAGCATTTCCGGGTCGAACTTCGCGGGTACGATATTCGGGTGTTTCGACCCGAGTTCAAGTAGTAACCCCCCGGACGAAGACTCAAAGACCACCGGGCTAATGGGTATGAACCGTGGATCTCTTTCTTTCGTTTCTCAAATGGGCTTCGATAAATTTTCGTACTGCATTTCAAGCGCGAATGATTCGGGTCTTCTGGTGCTGGGAGACTCGGGCTTCAGCCGGGTCAATCGCCTGAAATACACCCCGCTGGTTCTGTTGAACAGTACATCGCCATATTATAACCGGGTAGCATATACAGTCAATCTGACAGGCATAAAAGTGGCGGACAAATTAATATCAGTGGGGCAATCCGCATTCACAATCGCCGATAACGGTGCGGGTCAAACCATGGTGGACTCCGGGACCCAATTCACCTACCTTCTTGAGGAGGCTTACACTGCACTGAAAAAAGAATTCTTGAATCAAACAAAGGGAATCCTGGAGGAATACCCCGGTTACGTGTTCCAAGAGGCAATGGATCTGTGTTTCCGGGTCGGATCCAACCAAACGAGCCTATCGATATTGCCGTCGGTAACCTTACTATTGGAAGGGGCCGAGATTGAGATTCCGGGGAACAGGTTGCTGTACCAGGTTCCGGGCGATGATTCCGCTTACAGCTTTACATTTGGCAGTTCCCAGCTGCTAGGGACGGAGGCTTATATAATTGGGCAATATCACCAGCAGAATCTGTGGGTTGAATATGATCTTGTCAATTCTCAGATCGGTTTTGCTCATTACCGATGTCATTTTTAGTCAAAAATGTAACTTGAGACAAACAGAAATGTTGTGTGAACAATATACACTCTGTATAATGCTGCACTCGTACGAGTATTTTTTATTCATAGATACAACTATAGAAGACATCGATATCTATGTCTGTGTATGAAGTACTTCCTATACTATTGTTTTTATTTGTTTGTTATTATTAGTTTCATACTTTCATGTTTGTCTACACATAAATTGCCTATCAATGTATACATCGTATACAATTAGTACAGATTCTTTGGTTTTTTCAATAACAATCAACGTAACATAATGCAAAATATTTTTAGCCAAAAGGAATTAAAAAAAAAAATAGAAAAACTGCAAAATAAATGTGTGAATAGCATATTATGATAGTCTCTGCACTTGTAACTTAGCTTTTAGTTTTGTTTTTGCTTGGCTTGTCCATTTACTTCTCTTGTAATTTCAATATTTTATTTAACAAAATTGGGAAGTGTTCCCCGGCACTCCCCCACCTCGTGTGGTTGCTTCGTTAAAAAAAAAAAAAAACATACTCCGTTACGATAGAGGGAGTATTTGAATACACTATTGTTATTTTGAGTACGTTTTAATCACAAAATTATTGTAAATAAACATAATTTTTTGAAATTTGTATATAAGTTCAAGAGCCTTATTTTGTCAACACCATTACACCAATTCAATGGTGTGGTTGGTGTATTCATGATAGATAAAAAGGGTCAAATAAGGCCTTCTACTATTACAGAATTGTCACGTAAGGTCACGTACTCAATAAAGTGTCATATATATACGTCTACTTATAAAAAGCAATCGGATGAGTCAAAATGAGTCGTTGACAACCTCGCAATTCCGATGTTAGAGTACGTCCGACTATCTTTCTGAAATAGATTATAAGGTCGACGTGAAATATTTGGTCACAATTGGCTTAAGTACAAGGCAAAAATAATGACACTTAAGCTAAAATTAAGATTAGGAGGTTGTCAACGGGTCATTTTGACTCATCCGAATGTTTAATTTTCTAGAATAAATTCCACTTTTGGTCCTACGAGTTTTAGGTCAATTCCATATTTAGTCTACATCTTTCACTTTGTCCACTTTTGATACATGAATATTGTGTTTTTGTCCTTATATGGTCCTTCCGGTATTGTTTCCTATGGTTAAAATCGCAAGAAAAGGACCACAAATGGTTAAAAAACATTAGTCAAGTACCAAAAGTGGACAAAGTGAAAGTCGTGGACTAAATGTGGAATTGGAACACAACTCGTAGGACCAAAAGTAGAATTAATTCTTGTTTATTATAAGTATACATATTTATATGATACTTTATTGAGTACATGATCTTATGCGACTATTCATAATAGTAGAAGACCTTATTTGACTCTTTTCTCTTCATGATAAACTACAAATAGATGAAGCACTATCTTTAGGCTAGTAAGTCTTTGGCCTCCAAGCCCCCCAAAAATTTAGAAATTAGGCGTCCAAATAGTTAAATACTTTCATATTATATGTGTGTGTGAGTTTAAAACAACAAACAGGGACTAAATACGTTGTCTAGCTTAAAAAGTCTGCTATGGAAGTAACCAAACTAGCAGGGTCGGCTAGAGCAATTATGAGGCCCTAGACGGTCATGTAGAAATTTTGTTTTAAATATGTTTTATTTAACCTAATGATATAAAAAATAGAAATTAAATATAAGTAAATTACATATAAAATACATCATATACTATTAACACAGTGAGAATATTCTTCGAAATCAGAAGATCAAAGTTGATGAAAAAATACAAAGAGCCCTAGAGGGAGAAGGTTTTGTGCTTACATACAACATACCGATCGATAGAGCCGGAAAGTGATTTCATGACCAAATCATTTCTTAATTTTTTTCTTTGTCTTTGTACATCTTGATTCATATTTTGTTTTCCAATCATCACAAAACATAAAATTTCATTCAAAATAATACTATCACTAAATATAAGTTAATGGTTCATAGATATAAATTTAATTCACTAAATTTTAATCAAATATAAAAAATTATAAGTATGTTCAATATTTCGATGAATCAAAATAACAAATTACAATTTCAATTATTCAATAAGCATTCAAATATATTTAGAATACTCATTATCCTAAATCCCTAGCCCTACTGCCCTAGCCAACAAAGAAAAAAAAGGAAAAAGGAGCAAATAAGCCCACATACTAACCAAAAAGGTCAAATAAGCCCTTGTATAAGAGACTTTGTCCCGCCATCGCCATTTGGGGCAGTTCCCAGTGGAATTTTTTGATGAAATTTTTTGAGAATCTTATTCATTAAGTCTTGTTTACTTATACCAAATTTCAGCTAACAATTCAACATGGAAGGCATTCAAATAAATTCTTGAAGATAACTGCGCTTTTAACCGAACAAGTAGTGAAGTACAAAGCGCAAACTCCCGAAGGATTAAAGGAAGTGTCGATTACCAAAGAGTCTACTGTCGTGCTGACTCACATGCTCTTTAAGAGCCGATCGATAATGTAATGAGCAATCTCACGCAATACTGGCAATAGGAGTGGTGTATGTTTTCTCGCACTAATAAAAATGTAGTAATAAAGTGTTTTCGTATGAGTATCGTTTCCACAAGGACGGGAAATGGGAATAAGGAATTAACTAAATTCAGTGATTAAAACAAATAAAATAAAATGCGATTGTGCGAGATTTGGATTTTTGAAAATTAAACTAATGCAATAAAGCAGATAAAATAATGTGTTCTTTCTAACTAATGATGATAGGGAACATGGATTGATTCCGAGGTAATCAGATTTCGGAGCTGATCGAGCTTAATCACATGAAAATTATTTAATTGAGCAACGTTAATCAATACTAAGTTCTTACCGCTCTCGCAGGGTAGAGTTCAATAATTTAGGGAACCAGGTTGATCTTTCATGTGACAGATTTCTAAATTATTGTCAAAACGAGCGAGCGTACGGCCCCTTAACCGTTACTAATCTCTTAGCAAACGATTAAGTGTGTGTGAAAGTGTCCTATAATAAATTAGATCTCTTTTAATTTATTCTATGTGTAATTATAATCCTAGCGGCCGTTCCAGGTTATAAAAGATATCAATTAAATTATTCAAACACAAGTTAAATAAAGATCATGCAATTAACCCTTCAAAAAATTAACCCTAGATCATAATTAACCCCTTTATAAAAACTATTAACCATTCATAATTGAATTAACAATAGAATTGGGAAAGAAAGAATTAATTGTCATTAATTAAGAAATTGGAACTTACAAATAATCCCAAAATTTTGATAATCTAATGCTTGAAAAGCTCTCAAAAATCGTTCTAGGGTTGATCCTATATCTCTAAGCTCATAATCAAAATCAGGAAAAAAAAACAGGCTAATTTTAAAGAAATCAGCAAAAAGTGGGCGAATTGAAATTCGGTCTACGCGGTCTTCCTCATGGCGTGCGGACGACAGCGCTGACAATTCCGTCAAAATTATGCGCCGGTCCGCACGGCGTGCGGCTGCCCGCATAGTCCGACCGTGCGGGTACTCCTTGTGAGAATAATGGAACATGATGCTTTCTAAGGAGTCCTGACAGATATATTTATAGTAAAAGAGTTTTAAATGTAAAGTACATAAATATCCCTATTATTATTCTATTACACCCCTCAAGCTGTGCGGGAGATACAACGCGCATGTTGGCTTTCAAAAATGAAAACGCTGACTAGGGAAGCTTTTAGTAAAAATATCACCTAACTGTAAATGAGTAGAATCATGTTTAACAGATTTTAAGGTAAGAGGACGACCAAAAGAAGGTAATGCAACTTCACTAACATGACAAATGGGAAGATGGACACCATTAGCAACACTCACAGAATTAAAGCCAGTGTAAGGAGATTTATTAATTAAAGTACCTTCAGATGCCGTCATATGAGCAGAAGCTGCCGAATCAGGATACCACAAAGCAAGATTAGTTTCACCAAGAGTAGTCAACAAAGGAGGAGCAGACGGTTGTGTGAAGCGAGAGGGACAAGTGACAGCAGAATGACCTGCAGAAAAGCAAATTTGACACACAACAGGATGTGGAACCGACTCAAGAATACCCCCATCTGACGGTGAGCCTGCAGAACTAAAGTTAGTGGCACAAACAGGTAAGACATTATTATTTAAATGTGACACATCAGAATTACAAATAACAGTGCCCGTAAATGGCACACCCCCTGGATGGGGAGCATACACCGGCTGACCACCCCCTCCGGAGTGAGGAACGAACGGCCCCTGCTGTGGATACCACTGCCCTGGTTGACCATACTGCACCAGCTGCTGTCCGCGGCCTCTGCCATGGCCCCGTCCTCGGCCACACTGCGGCTGACCCGGTTGGCGTGACTGCTTGCCACCCGATAGCGAGGAACCCGGCTGTTGGCCCGCCTGCTGACCAGCCGACTGTCCGGGAAGTAGTGCGTTGGCAGCGAATGCCTGGTGGAAGGTGGAAGATTCCTGGGAGCGTAGATAAAGGAACCGCTGCTCTTGCTCGAGAAGATGATTGCGAAGTGTCTCAAACGGAAAAATTTTGTGGAAATAACGAGACAATGGTGAATAAAGACTCATATTCAGGTCCAAGTCCCATATTGGTAGTTTTCAGCACTTCTCGAGGTGGCACCGGGCAGTTAAATGTAGCAAGATCATCAACTAGTATTTTAATTTCCCTAAAATATTGCTCCATGGGCTGATCAGGTTTCTTTTTAAGTTGGGACAATAAGCGCTTTAATTCCATAGATCTGGCTAAACTATCAGACATGAACCGAGATTCTAACCATTCCCAAATTTCACATGAATGTTTTAAATCACGAACATCAATAAGTACATCCCGAGAAAGAGTGACAAATAACCATGAACGGATGGTTAGGTCAATGCGCAGCCAAATAGAAAATTCGGGATTGGGAATTTGACGGTTAAGAACATCTATGGAATAAGCAGGAGGTACCTGAATTGAGCCATCAACCATGCCAAGGAGACCCTGCGAGACGAGGAACTACTCAAATTGAGTCCGCCACGTAGTATAATCTTCCACCGCTAGAAGCTTAGTAGTCACGATGTTTGTGACGTTGGTCGCCACATGTGATATTGTTTGAGAAGGTTCTCCCAAGGGATAATTTGAGGGGCTGCCCGCTGCTGTCCGAAGAGAAGCAATTCCCGGCGAACCACCAAAGGTGGGCTCAGCGAACGAA